TCTCTCTGGTGGTAGCATAAAAATTAAAAGAAGGTCTGCTGATGTCTTAGAAGAACTTGTACTCTTTCCCCATATCCTTTTCTGTAAAAGCTACTTTCATTTAGGATCTTGTCTGGATTCATGTGTCCAGAAAACATACATTCCAGCTTGTCTTTATTCTTTGTTGTTCATTTGTTCAGACTTTGGAGCTGGCTTCTGGCACTTCCAGCCATTCCCATAGTGCAGTTTGCATGTTTCTTTGAAAAAAATAATGTGGTTGAATTTGAGCAGTGTTCCACATTCCAGTACTGCCTTTTATAAACCAAAAGATATTTTAACCATTAGTGATGTCAAATATTAAAGGTTTGTCTGGGTAATCCTAGGCCTATGACTTACAAATATGAGCAAACTTGATGTGTCATTTAAAGGATAATGATTCAAATTTTGGATAGTTCAATTGATATATATTACCTTTAGGATGAGAGGAAGCTTGAACTTTTTCTTTAAAAGTTGTCATGTGGCTGCCTTAAACTTCTTGTTTGTTCCTCTAAATTTTGATATGTTTAATTGAATTTTCAGATTTCATATTGAAGTAATAGAGCAGCCAGTGACCTTATGCATTCACCTCTATTCAGTGCTATGGGCCTTAACTAGATGGATATAATGCTGATAGTGATGTGTGGACAATAGCTTCTGTTGTTCAAGTCATTACAGGGGCGCCGCGTGCTTCATTTTCCAGTTATCCAAAGTTGCTTCCAGGGTGCTACTGAGTATGAAGTTCTGAACCCTGTAGTGCCCGGTGAACTTCTGAACTAGAGAATTTTTATTTAATGTATGAAATAATAAATTTCTGAACTCTGTAGTAAAGTGCTACTAACCAAAGTGTCAAATATTCAAACACAAATGCACTCTTTTGTTTTCTGTAGCACTAATAACCCAATTTTGTTGCATGTACTACCTACGATGCCCTGGGGAATTGGTTTGTGGTGTTGGCACTGCCATTCTGAATGGTTCTCGTGATGTGTTTTATTCACAGGAGTACACAGGAGGAGAAGCAACCATTATTTAGATCTATATGTGATTTGCTTAATCGTCTGCTATATCGTTTATGAGCAGATCCATCAACAACCATGCTCAACTCACCACCGTGCCCAAGGTGTTCACCCCCTTCTCTTTCACTCCCATCACTATGTATACACTGATAATTTCTTGTAATGTATTAGTTAGTTTGGATTAAGAAATAATCAGAAGTTCAGAATCAGTAGCTCTATTTCACACTTTGCAAACTCTTGGAACAAAATCATACAGATGTCATGGACATGGATATATGGCTGATGTTACATACAAATTGCAACTTGTTTACATCAAAGTATTTATTTTGGCAGAATGAACCAGCAAGCCTGTTAACCACAAAAAAGGTTATTGAGTATGCTACCACCACCAAAGCAACTAATGTAACCAGAATTCTTTTCCACAAAATGAACAGTGGAAATTGGTCATCCAGTTTTATTTTCCCAACAACTATTGATGACTCGTAATCAAAAGAAAAGATAACAAATAAGAATATTGACATGATTTGTCTTTGTTCTTATGATTTAAGTTAATGTGCCACATATGATAGAGCTTGTTTTCTTAGCAACTAGAAGGATATCTAATTGTATGCCTGTTCATAAATTGCAGGAAAGCATGGACAACCATAATAATTAGAGAAAGCTTTATTGGTGAATGCTGGTGCCGATGGTGCATGAAGAGATCAATAAAGCGAACTCATAGTTAGTTCTATTTTATAATGTCAAACATAGTTGCAAACTTGTAGTCAGAGATGATGTTTTTTCTATTGTGGTCATGTTTATTTTAGCAATACTCTGGTCATTGTGTTATTACTTTGTGAGACATGTTTGAAGTAAATGAAGGTTTGAGTTCTTATATGTGATGATAAAATCTATACTCATGGCACAAGTATTTTGTAATAACAACAATTAAATTTCTAGCTACGAAAAAATTAAAAAGGCGTTGGCCAAAATGCCCTTGTTGCAACAACCTAATATGCAACCATTGTTTGTTGTTGCAATATACATTATTGCCACAAACTTTATGTGTTGCTATAGGACATGTCTACCACCAACAATGATTCGTTGCATTTTCCATCTATTATCACCAACAATAATTCGTTGCATTTCTCATCTATTACCACCAACAATGATTTGTTGTGTTTCCCATCTGTTACCACCAACAATGATTCGTTGTATTTTCCATCCGTTACCACCAACAATGATTTGTTGTATTTTCCATCTATTACCGCCAACAATGATTCGTTACATTATCTTTTTATTACCACCAGCAAATGAACGTGGCAATTGTGACTCTAGCCACCAAATTTGTTACGTTGCAAGATTTCTATGTTGCAATGGATCACATTGCATGGCAATATGGCCATACTCCCACGTAACTATGGAGTGACAATAAAGCTATTTTGTGACAAGTTCGTTCGTGGCAATACTGTCATATTGCAACCATGTGTTTGGTCGCAATAGTAACTCATGCAACCATTCTGTTGGTCGCAATATACATGCTTGCAACCATATCACGGTTGCGTTAGTTTTTTATGTGCATTGCAAAACCACCATATTGCAACACCACATCCAAAAGGATGCAAGAACCTATTGCACCGTTCTAAATGCAACCACCTGTCAACGACCATACATAGATGCAATTGATCCGGATTGCAACCAAAATAGCCATATTGCAACCCAATATAGGCGTCACGACAGGGCTGGATCCTAGTAGTGTTGGCAGATCGCCCGGTGGACCAAGCTGAATGTATAGTCACCAGTTGGCCAAGTCTCCATGGTGCACCATATGATCTGGTGGGACTGTGTGACCCATTAACATATCAGACTGTGGGAAATATTCTAGTATATTCTCAACTAGCCATTACAAGAATCTGCTATCACAACACCACTGCATGCTTCGACGTGGCCTTTTGGGGCCGACGAATCATTTGGTGATTACTATGCCTGCCAACTTTTTCCAACAGACAACATCCTCTTCAACTATGTAAGTGCTACCCCTTGCTCATTTGGAGGCACCATTTGACCCCCACTATCACAGCACTTGTAGAGAGGTTAGTGAAGCATTTGGAGAGCCACACATCCAAGAAGTGAGGATTAAGTGTTAGCCACGAGTGCTACATGTATTCTTGCTTGGGTTTCTTGAGTTGGAAGCTTGAAGGATTGTTATTCTTAGTGTTTTTCGACACCACGATGACCTGGTGGAGTACATTATATTGTGACTTCCTCAATGGATTCATTGTAAGAAGACTCTAGAAGTATGTACATGGTATTGAAACCCATCATGTCAGAGTGGCGAACATGTATTCACTAGTGGAGCGGAGCATAATCAAGTCTTTATATTATGACTTTGGTGTTCCAACGTAGTGTAGAGGGTGTTGTGGCAACAAGTGATATCATGAGGAAATCTGGTTGTCTCATGTGCACTCTTTTACTTGCTTTACTTCCATTGTTTGCAAGTCTCCTTGTGTAACTAGGATTCATGTTAGTGTGTGCTTAGCATAGGTTTCTTTTCTCGCTCTATAAGGACCTTAATCTTACTGTGATATTTGCTAAAGACAGGGCTAGCTTGTTGTCCCTAAGGACTTATTAGCTTGCTTTTTAGCCAAGGGCTATGTGGGTCTTGAAATTGCTTAGGCTAAAGTTTATCACTTTAATTTTTTGAGCCCGATTCAACCCCCACCCTCCTGGCCATTCGATTCTCTCATGGAGCTGTAGTAAGTGGGCACCTTACTATGTGAATCTTAAAGATTCAAAATTGTTGAGATTAACCCAATTTCTTGGTCATCATGTCAATTAGTTAATATGAGCACCTACAAGCTTTGTAAGCAGACCACCAATGGTTTGTGTCATATTGACCATAAGTAGTCCATGACACAATCATAATTTTATTACTAAAGTAGTTAGTTTATGTTGTATACCCTATATCTACACCAGTCATAAAGGTCTCAAACATGCAGTTTCTGTCATTCGTCGGTCACATGGAGAAACTACTCAAGAAATGATTAAAGACCAAACCATGCGTAGACTCGGTATCCACGCAATGTAGCTAGTTGTTAAAAGAATTTAACTTGCTTTCATGCTCAGTTAATTGTAAATATTATATGTAGCTATTCAATATTATATCATGAGCAAAATATCCATATATACAATATTTGAATTGTCCATGATCGTTTATGTAGTAGCAACTATTCAAGGCATTTGGATAGAGATAGATACATATCTTGTATGCGTATTATACTATGAAGCACCGCAATCATGAAAACCAGCACAAACAATAGATCAAACTGATAGTACTCAATCAAGCATCGGTATATTACTATACTATGTGCCTTAAAGCGGTGGCGATGGTGGTATGTCTAGGCGCATCCACACATATAGATTCAACTGATAGTATTCAATCAAGCACCGGTATACTACTATACTATGTGCCTTAGAGCGGTGGCGATGGTGGTATGTCGATGCGCATCCACATGTCTGGCCCCCATCAACGGTTACATATGTGGGTGTCCACACGTGTACCATGACACCTCATTTCCATGACCAAAGTGGGCTAATATTAGATCTACGAGATAGAAACGTGTTATCTTAACATTATTCCTTAAGTATAAAAAATATTTGCGTGACTCGATATCTTTGAGTTATTCCACACGTGTCCCATGACACCTCATTTCCATGACCAAAGTGGGCTAATATTAGATCTACGAGATAGAAGCGTGCTATCTTAACATTATTCCTTAAGTACAAAAAATATTTGCGTGACTCGATATCTTTGACTTATTATATTAAAACCCACAGTTTGCTCGATACTGGAGTCAGACAATTAATAGAAACCAGGATAAATAAATTCACCGCATGGCCTATAAATACATGGCCTTGTGGTTTCCATTCTTCCCATATACCAAAAACAACATTTAGAGTTAATAATACCATCTATTGTGTGTAGTACTTATGGATCCCAATTATGGAGAGTGGAATGCCTCTGAGATCGAAACGGTGAAAGCTCTCATCGCTAGCCATAGTGCCAAGAGTACCTTTGTAAATGACATAAACAATAAGCAAAGTGACATTGTGGATGTGCTCCAAGAAAGGTTTCCTACAAAGGAGAAGCATAAGGTAACCAACTTGTATGGTGATCTCATGGTGGAGAAGATGCATGTGATGTTGAGCGGCAACCAGAATGGAACGACTGGTAGCAAGCTTGTTAATGACAAGTTTGGGATGCTAGTGGAGCATCCAACCATGGACATCTTGGGTGGTGATTTGGTGGAGGAGAGGAAGGCCAAGAGGAAGGTAGGGGAGGATTTGCATAGCCAACCAGATCCTCAGAAGGAGAGGCAGCGCCGGAGGTTTTGGACCACGGAAGAACACAGGTTAATGATTTCTTTATCTCACATACTCATGACTTTTGATCCATTTATTTCTTTCTTCTTGTTTTGGGAATGCTTGTCACATATTTCATGCAAATTATTATTACATATATTAGAATGTCGTGTGGGGTATTGATTATGATGAGGGGTTTGAGAATTCGTCTCTGATAATGAGTGTGTATATTATGCAATTTTTCATTCTGAACCCTGTCTCAATGTAGGAATTTCCTCTACGGTTTGCGTGTGTTTGGTCGAAGCGACTGGAAGAACATATCCAAGCACTTTGTTACCACCAGGACACCAGTGCAAATCTCTAGCCATGCCCAAAAATATTTCCACAGGATGGAGAACACTACCAGGAAACAGCGCAGCAGCATCAACGACGTTGGCCTCTGCGATGATGAGCCCAGGGTGCAAACTAATGCTTCAAGCCTAGAGGGGTTCACCTTCACCAGTGGAACCTACAACTCAAACCACTATGGCTCCAGCAGCCAATTTGTTGCCATGAGTAACATAGCCAAGCAGATGTGGTTTCCATCCTTATGTTGTATTGGCCAGGCAAGCAGCAGTAGTAACCAAGCCACTACCTTAAATAGAGGTGGGACTGGTGGTTCTTGTGTGGCTCCAAAGGTGAAGGGGGACGGGAGCAAGACAAAACTGACTAGTGATCAAGAGGGAGATTTTCTTGCTGATAAATGGATGATGAGGAAGTAAGCTTTACATCTAGCCTAGTACCCTATGACATGGCAACCTATTAGTCCGTCATATACATGCGGATTAAGTGATATGTCCTATAGTAGGGAGGGAACAATTTCGTCAGTGAAACTTTTGTGTTACTATTATATGTATGTGGTCGTGTTATAGTGTGATGCATTTGCTTGTGTTCTTTGCTTCGTATATCGTCTATGTCTCTATGAGGACTAAAAATAAAGATATGTTTTGATATTTAAGGGCTCATTTGGATCAATTATTTTCGATGGGGATTGGAGGGAATTAAAGACGAAATGGACGTATTGTAAAGCAGGTTAGTGTACTTCATCATAGAACAAGAAGAAAATGTTAATAAAATATAGTAGGCAAACGACATATATTCATGTGTAAAACCTTGATTAAGAACTATATATATAACTCTATAACTCTATATGCATGCAGTCAGCGTAATAATTGCATAACCGAGCACGGTAAGGAGATTTTCAATTGCCACATATTGACTAATGTCGTCTATAACTCTATATACAATGAGCCAATTAATAAGCTTAGAAAAAAAGTATGCCAATCTACCGTACGAGCCACCTTCAACCCCAACAAATTTAAAAGGAAAAAGTCCACGTTATCTCCCTCAACTTTTGTGAAAATATGTTTTTTCTCCGTGTACTCTGAAACCAAGTAAACCACCTCTCTGAACTTTTAAAACCGTTTGTTTTACTTCCCTGGCCGGTTATAAGCGGTTTTCAAATACGGTTTTGTCTTTTTCTTTTTTATTTATTTCGGCTGAATCTTTGAAAAATCAGAGTAAATCACAAAAAATCATAAAATGAAAAATTCAATTTCGTCTGACTCCACATGAGTAGATCTAAACTGTGAACATATAATATGTTATGCTTTAGTATAAATTTTTTGCTATAGCTTTGGATCTATACTTTTCTATAATTAATTCATAGCTGCAATTTCTATGGTCCAATTGTGGTGAAATTTTTATGGTGGACTAATTATTGTATGCTTGAATTGTAGTAAAAATTTCATATTCATTGTGTTGGTGTTTTATCGACCAACTAGTGAATTTGTATGATTGTCGCACTATTCTAGGAAGACGATGGTAGCATCCAAAAGACACAAGGAATTATACTGTGTTGACGAAATATGGTCGGCAGTCTACCTAGGGGTATGCCCAAGGTAGTAGATTGTCGGTAGACAGGTGCGCAAGCTATGAACAAGATGATGACGTAAGACAGACACGAGGTTTTATCCAGGTTCGGCCGTCGTGAGGGCGTAATACCTACGTCCTGCGTCTGATTGTATTGCTGTATGTCAATGAGATGTGTTTTTTAGAGGGGTCCCCTGCCCGCCTTATATAGTCTGCGGGGCAGAGTTACAGATCTGGAAACTAATTCTAATCAGTTACAACTAACATAGGTGGCCGGATAAGGATTTCTATTCTAACCGACCAGGATCTTGCTTGATCTCCAAATCTGCCTTGATTCCTTGCGCGGGACTCCAAACAAATTGGCTGGTCCGCGCGTCGTCTTCTAGTGAACCAGATCCCCTAGTCCGGGCCAGCCCGAGCCTAGCCATAAGGGTATAGAGGTTAATACCCCCACAGCTAGTCTCCGAGCACCATGTATTATGCTGCGACACGCCGTTCAATCTCCTTCGACTAACGCGATCCGTCTTCATGTCATCTCCAACTGATTGAAACATTGTCCAACTGAATGTGCCAACATTCTAGTCAGAACAGAGAGTAGTAAACCACGATTATAGCCGAAGATTCCGGTTGTCCGAAGAATGCATGGTGCTCTTAAAGAAAAAAGAAAAATATTTCTTTCCTTATCAAGTGTGCCCACTTGTATTTCTGAAAAGAAATGTAAGTGCCTCTTGGACAATAGTAATTCTAGCAATCAGTCAAAGCGTAGGGGTTGACAAGATAAACACATTCACCGCAAGGTGAAGTGTGCCCACTTAGTCCCCGAGCCTGGTAGTAGGTGACGTAGGCACGTGGTGCCAGGGTCTAAAAAGAATTTCCAGTTAAGTTGAGAATCCAATCGTCGTACAGGCGATACAAGATGCACCGGCATGTGCATCGTACCAATATAGTCCCCGAGCTTGCTGGAAGGCGAGGTATGAGCCTTGTAGCAAGGTCCAAATAAATGCCTCTTGACTGTATATAAGTACAAATCACATGTAGCTGAGGAGAGCGATCTTCGAGCAGTGGTCAGAACAATCCCCGAGCACAGCAGTGGTCGAAGCAGTCCCCGAGCACGGTAGTGGTCGGGACAATCCCCGAGCACGGTAGTGGTCTGGGCAGTCCCCAAGCACGGTAGTGGTCTGGGCCATCCCTGAGCACGAGACGTGCGGCGAAGAACCAAATGCCACTTGTACTATTATTTGGCGTATTTATTTATCTTCTTACTCTGTCCAGTCCAATATGACACGTCTAGTCAAAAAAGTAGACAAGTACAACACGTCATACTTCCTTCTTATCCTTTCAAGCAAACAGTCAATTGGCACCTATAAGGAGGTGCGTCAATGTGGGCCCTCTCACACTGGTAATGAAGAGGCGCATACACTGATAACGAAGAGGCGCATATATTGGCATAGATCTCGATGTTGTGAAAACAACCATCTGCGGCGCGTGCGCACATCTCCCAAGAATCTCGTGCAGACAAAACGGCAGAACTCTTGGTTAAATATAATATAGAATTGGGAAGTTACTTTTTATCGAACCCCAGTACCATTCGCCGCCACAGCCTTCTTCTTCCTCTTGCCAACCTTAATACCTCCAAAATCATCACCAATCACTCCTCCACCATATCCACTTTCATCAGCAAGGCCAGATTCATGGCGAAAAGTGACGCCCAGAAGAAAGCTGGAGTCATGGCAAAGGAGTGGTGGAAGTCGAGAAGCAACGAGCAGACCATCGAAGACCTCGTCATCATGGGAGTGCTCCACAACAAGGAACTCGCAGGATGGCGCGCGCCGGAGGGTGAAGGGTACCCCGATCCACAACCAGGTGAGATTGTGGTTTTCGAAGATTTCTTCAAGCGGGGTTTTGGGGTTCCAGTGAACCCTTTCCTTCAGGGGCTCTATCTGTATTACGAGATTGGGATTTGCAATCTGCATCCCAACTCGATTCTTCTTGTCTCCACCTTCATTCATCTTTGCGAAGCGTATGTCGGCTTTTAGCCCCATTTCGACTTCTTTCGCCATCTTTTCTGTCTGTGGAAGAAAGGAAGCATCGGCTCGAAGATAGCCGGAGGTGTGTACCTCAACCTTCGTGACGGGATGAAGGCCCAGTACCTGCACTGCCCTTGGAACACGTCGCTTGATGACTGGTACAAGAAGTGGTTCTACATCCGTGAAGAGCCGAACACGATCACACTATGCGACGTGGGATTCATTCCGGAGAAGAGGACCAACTGGTCGGGGAAGCCCAAGCACCTAGAACAGATCCCAGAACTTCTTGGGATGATCCCATGGAAGAAACTAGACGGTCCGAGCGTGGTTGGGAACTTCATCAGCCGAAGGATCCAGCCCTGCCAGAGGAGGGTACATCCCGACTACGAGTACCAAGGTAGCGCAGACCCAACGAGGACAAGGCAAGAGGCGCTTGACAAGATTGAAGTCAGAGCCAGAATTGGAGAGCTATTTAACTTAGCTAATCCAAATTATGTCAGATTGAGCGACATCGAGCATGCTTTCAAGCTCGCCCGACCTCCCCCAAAGGTAAATCCTCCTGCCTTGTACCCGTAGTTTTGTGTTGTAAGAGAAACTTACTGTGTTATCTCCTTTGTGTTTCCTAGATTAATGGTCGGGATAGAGCAACAGTGTTCGTGTCTCCACCCCCTGGTGTAGATTGGCCGCAAGTTGCCGGCCCAACCGCCTAGACCAACGCCGGGATCGAAGACGTCGACTAGGCCATGCTCGGAGTTGGGGAGGAGGCAGCGGCCAAAGCTACTGGCAAGCGGTCGGCGGCCAGCAAGCGTCGTCAGGCGATCTTTACTCTGTCGGACGATGACACAGAGGATGCAGACATCTTTCGACTCGTCCCTCGAAAAAGGAGGAGGCAACTGGAGTCGACGAAGTAAGGTGGCTCCTCTGTGCCGGTGGGACCCGCATTGTCGACCACTGCAGCACGGAGGACAAGTGGCGAAGGGGTCGAGCACCAAGCCCCAGCATCAGTGCTAGATGTAGAGGGAGAGCAGGTGTCACCCACACAGCATGTGGAGCAAGCACGGCCAAAGAGACATGCCTTTGCCACATCATTCCGCGCTTCCAACATGTATGTATTTGTAACTTTGATGTAAGCTTGCAATTTTTATTGACTATGGTTGCCTTTTGAACTTATCTTGGATGTACTAGATCGGCGTCCACCAAAAATTCGGATCAACTAGCCGGGAGCAGCATGGCTCCGGCGGCAATTGCAGAGAAAACTACGCAACAGCCATCCATGGAGGTACCCATAGCAGAAAAACCATCGGAGCCTCAGCCCACTAGCAGTCAGACAACAGTCCCCGAGCAGGGGGTCGAGAGAAGAGACGAGCCAAACATAAATGCTCCGAGCACTAACCCTGCGGGGGGCGATACCTCAACACCAAGGGTAACGGGTCAGACCGAGGAGCAGCGAACGAAGGCGAGAGCACAGAGCACGTTTGTCGATGCTGCATCCCATGGGAAAGCCATAGTGATCGCAGAAGCTGCTAACTCTGGACCAGAACCGATACCCGAAGAAGAGGCCAAAGAGGACTAAGTAGAAGAGGTCCTAGGCCGTCCACAGGACAGACGTCAACATGTATATGTATCGTGCTGGCGGAACGACCAATGGGTTATTCATGAAGAAATCCCAGAGGTCGAAGAGACCATGAAAGTTGAACGGGCAGCAAAACGACTGGTGATGGAAGTCTAGGTATGCTTTGCTCGACCACCTGATCTTGCCATCTAGTCATACTGTCTTACTTAGCTTTTTGTACGCAGGACTTAATGAAGACTGCAAGGTATCA